CTCTTGAACCGAACTTTATAACACAAAGACAGTTTACAATTTGTAGCAATTTCGTGAACACGTTGAAACCTTGTCTCTGCCATCACGTTGCGGCTTCTTCCATTCCCCCTTTCTTCATAATTTGTATTAGCTCAAACCACGTTTCCCTCGGAGCCATACGGAGTCTAAGGTAAAATACTCTTTGGGAGACATTGCGATTAAGTATGCTCAAACAGTCGACCACAAAGCTGAGCTGTTGGTCAACATCATTCTGAAGGTTGCGCTAAATTCAAATTTAAATGTATTCCGAATCAATTATCCGGAGTAACAGCACAGATATTCCGAGAGGGCGACAAAGTTTAGTTCTGAATTCTGAGACGGTACGCGACCGCAATCACTGGACCCAATCTCGAGCTGGAACGTTGGAGTACCCGTCGAACTGTCACGCAGCTCGTGCCCAATTGTTCCATTGCATGACCTGCTCAAAGGTGTCCTGTTTCGCCAACAGCCGCGCTGGATGGTAGCCGATTAAAGCGCTTCATGTTCCCTGGCCTGGAGCTTTAAAGCCGCAAAAAATAAACCCTGAATGAGTTCATGACTTCTTAACTATTTATACATCAGGAGTTAATTATATATACAGTGTGCTTCTTTTTCAGCTAGCGTTTTTGGAAGAAATCATTTCGCAAAAAGGAAGCCACCTCCGCTACTCTTTTCTTCGGCGGCTGCAGGGGCACAAGTCATTGCTGAATGCTGCCACTTTAAAGGCAGCTAAGATGTGGTGTATATCACTGCTGTCGAACGGGCATCTCAAATGGCTTTTAACCAATAGCCAGTCTGGCACGTGGCCAATCAGCGCTCGATTCCCCCTCTACACGTTTCACTAAGCATGCAATCTTCTGCGAATTCAGCTACACGCGGTTGAAATGTCGTTTCAAATGCCCGTGTGGCTAAGGTATAATATGCTCCGAATTTCACAATGATACAGAGTAGCCTGCCTGGGACACAAGGACTATGTGGCGTGTAGATGAAACTAGAGTAACTATACAGGGTGTTTCACAAAAGGTGGACAAATTCGATATTTCGAAAACTACGCGTCGCAACAAAAAAAGGCTTGTGTCGTTTTGATCCTGGCCACGTGCCTATTTAGGAAAATGATAAAAGTTCGAGGTAATTAAGTAGTTAATTATTTAAGGGTGTGGTTTCAATTAGAAAATTTTTCAGCATCATCGAAAAACACTAAACCAACAAATTGCAGAACAATAGAAGGCACGCGAAGCATTTTACTGCTTTCTGAAAAACCGCACCCATTCGACGGGTTTTTAAGTTTCGGTTTGCTATCGGAGCGCATCTCGGCCCCGGCGGCACCGCACCCCGTGGAGAGATAGCGCAACCAACCTCTGCTGCGCTGTCATCACGCGACGCAGCAGAGGTTGGTTGCACTATCTCTCCACGGGGCGCGGTGCCGCCGGGGCGGAGACGCGCTCCGATAGCGAAACGTAACTTGAAAACCCGTCGAATATTTGCGGTTTTTCAGAAAGCAGTAAAATTCTTCGCGTGCCTTCTATTGTTCTGCAATTTGTTGATCTAGTGCTTTTCGGTGATGCTGAGCAAATTTCTGATTGAAATCATACCCTTAAACAGAATATTAAAAAAAAATAATTACGCGAAAATAATTAACCACCTAATTATCCCGGACTTTAATAATTTTCCTAAATAGGCCCCTGGCCCAGGACTAAAACGAAACAAGCCTTTTCTTATTGCGACGAGTAGTTTTTGAAATATCGAATTTGTCCACCGTTCGTGAAACACTCTGTATATGCTATGTATATGCTGTATATGTATATGCTCTGTATATGTATATGGAGTAGAGTATCGCAAAACTCCCCAGTTTTGATCCCACAAGTATTGCGGTAACGACCGTCGCTCTTGCAGAAGACACAGTGGCGTGCGGTTTCCGACCTAGGTCAATGGCGGTGCACCGGCTGTAACCCTCTCCTTCGGAAGCGCGTGCGCATGTACCCAGACCCCGCTTTGAATCATTTCGTGCATGTATCCCTTTCTCTGTCAATGAGGAGTTGGCGGCAAAAGGAAGGGAAATCGATACTTTAACTTCGCCATCTACTAATTAGTAGTTACTGTGGGCAATAATCTGTCCTCATGCAGCGAAGCGAAGGAAATAAAGGCAAACCAAGAAGCGAAGGTCGGCTGTGGCAACGCTTACGTATGCAACTGCCTAAAGGTAATGATAAATCCATTCATTTATGGCGGAGACCGATGGAAAAAACTACCCACAGGCAGACTGACGAGCCCTCGGTCCCATTATAGTTTCAGTATTCAAAATCATACAAACTTCTCAGAGAAAGCATGTTACAAAATGAATAGATCCAGAGATTTCTAAAACATGAACTTAGTTCCTTTACGTAATAAAGAAACAATATCAGAAAGAGAACGAGAACACTCCAAAGACAGCTTTGTCAAAGAATATAACTATCTATGAAGAGTTTCTAAAAACATGTATACAAGTGCAATCTCGACCGCAAACGTGCTTCATTAAGCACCAAAAAAGCAAGTAAACAAAAACAAAAATATTTTTCCTACTTGAAATACACAATAGTCTTCTTTCATGTTGAAAAATGTAAACACCATCTTAGCAAGCAGAGCCCTATAGAACTACAAGTACATTGACCTTAGATTGAATAACGTAGTATTATTCAAAACTATTTTGTTATCATAATGATCGCTCAGAGTTTTGGAATGGAAGTATTCCAGCATTTTGGTTCCGTAACTAGTTCTACATATATCCGCCATCCAGAATTCGCTATGACGGGTTGAGTAAGCGGGATTGTTTCTGGGTAATGAAGACATTGATTCTAGATTTTGCATGTTACGTTTTAATTCTGATCGAAAGCTCTCACTTAACTAATCAAAAATGCTTATAATTGAAAGTCTCGCAAACAACGGCGAAGCATGGCAGCGTAAGAGGTATTAGAAATAGAGCGCAACATCTTCTGCAATACATGATTTCTTTCTAGGTTTGTAATCGTGGTTGTGCCCCACACAAGATAGAAATAACTAATATGCGAGTAAAACAGAGAGTTGTACAGTAATAATTTAACTTTCGTAGGAGGTATGGAGCTGTGACGTCGTACTAGACCGACTGTCTGCGATAATCTATAGATGTAACAGAATTTATCTGCTTATTCCAAGTCATGTCCTCAGCAAACAACACTCCAAGGGTTTTAAACGAGTTTGTTAATTCAATAATGCATGAGTCGTCTAGAACCTGTTCCGAGATATAGATTACTTTATTTTCTGGCCAAAGAGGAGTGCCTTGGTTTTTGCACTATTAATCTTCAAGAAGTTTCTCGACGCCCAGTCGTGCAGGCTTAACAAAGTATGATTTTCTATAGTTATAATATAATCGGCTTCTTCACCAGGGGAAAACAGGCTAGTATCATTTGTGTATATAACAAACTTTGCGTTCCAATTAATGCTATTTATATCATTAATATAAATATTAAAAAGTAGGGGGCCAAGTATACTTCCTTGCGGAACATCTGAGAGAATAGGTTCGGGTGTTCCAAACAGGTATTTAGCGCACGGGCACGACAGCTCAAAATCTTTCAAATTAGTGATAAATAGGAGAAGGCACACCAATCACCGTGCATCACAGAAAACGTGTGGACTGTGCGCGCTGGTGAGGTAGTCAAGATATCACCGTCATTCATTAAAGCGGAGCTAAAGAGGTTCTCGAAAAAATAACGAATTCGAGATGTAATTCCATACTATATCTATCCCGTGAATTTGAATATCCCTCTCGTTTTTCCCGAAGATGCAACTAAACGCGAGAAAACACAAAAAAACCTCCGGCTAGTGGCTACGTCATACGCACATTCTTCGGCCGCCAAGCTCGTGTTGCTCGTGTGGACAGAGCGTGCAATTGCAAGCTGGCCAGGTATATTCCCTTGCACTGACACCAGCCGTGACGTCTTTTTTTGACCTTTGTTGAAAATAGCAAGAATGCGAGTGCTTTGATAGGCGCTGAAGATGCGCAAGAGCGGAGATTACGAAAACTCTTTATGTGATGTTATGTTTCGGGAAGGAGGGGCTTTAACGGTACTTCAATAATTATTTTCTGCTACCTCCGTCCAAACAATAATCCCTGTGTTTGTGATGCTGAAAGTAAAGTGAAGACGATTTAAGGAGTTTCTCAAATACAGAACCACATCAGTTTCCCTTTAAGATAGATGCAGAACAGAAGCTGATGAACTCATTTATTAACTACTATATTTATGCAAGCGGTGTGCCTGCACATCTGGCTTGTGCAACAACGTAGTCTCACTGTTGAAAACGCTGTAATATTTTGAACTTCGAGAAAGTATTCTCTTTCAATTTTTTTGTGAGCCACGCCACATACTAACGTTCGCTATCAGTGTAATTTATATTTACAAGACCACGATTGGATTAATATGAAGCCCCTTCTCCTTTTTCATTGAAAATTAAACGCGCTCCTGAGTAATTTGGCATTTTAATGTCCTACAGGATTGATAGTCACTGCTGGAACACAGTGGCCTGAAATTTGTATTGAATGATTGGGTGGATGTATAGAATAAAAGTGTATCGCTCAAGTCTGGCCCCTTTTCGGCGTGGCAGGCCAACAAAGTTATAACAACAATACAGCTAATAAAACTCCTATGTCAAAGTGTGGACATTTTACTTGTCTTATCATTGTCATTATCATTGCTTTTTATTATGCTCACAAAAACCTAACGGTATTTTAATTATGGCGCAATGACTTATGAACCTAAAAGCACCGAGATATACACCAGTATGCTGGTGATGTATAAACACAAGATAGAAATATAACAGTTTTTTTTTTTCTTGGCGATGAATACACGAGGGTTTCAAACGTGGTGGTAACTCCCACAAACTATCTTGGAGGCCAAAGTAATATTGTTCAAACACGACGTGGCTAGTCTAAAGCAGAAGAATCAACTAACTTCTCTTTGTCTCATTTTCAGGGTGCACGGGTGATAGCTCGGAACTGATCGCGGGCCGCATGACGTGCGCCGAGTTCCTGCAACAGTTCGGCACCCGCTACTGTACCCACGCCTACATCCAGAGGCACTGCTGCTACTCGCAGAGCGTCTTCTGCTCATAGATCCGCGCGTGTGGTCGAGCGACCTCTGAGAGAGGACGTGCACGACACGCCCGGATTGTCGGTCGCGTAGGACTCATGGCCTCGCGGCAAAGAACCAACAAGCCCCGGTGCCTTCAGATGACAGTCCCACCACAGTGGTTCATCCCCACTGATCTTCAAGCGTCATCAGGGGCCCTCATGGTGTCATCGCAGTGTCCTCATTGGCGTTGTCAGTGTCTTTGTGATGTCTTCGTGATGTCTTCATGGTCATGGTGTCTTCATGGTGCCGTCATGGGGTCCTCATTAGTCATCCTAAGTTGTCAGAGTTATCGAGATGCTCGAGTTCTCCCGAAGAGTTCTTGACGATCCCAGGGCGTCCCGCGGGAGACTTGAGGAGTCTTCGGGAGACATCGGGGACACCGGGAATCCTCAAGGATTTTGAGAAGTTCTTGGGGATTCTCCGTAGCTCCCAGGGAGTACTGAGATCCCGCCCGGAGGCGGGTTCTTCAAGATCTTCTCAGCAGTTGTTATCGGGAGTGATAAAGACGCTCATAGTGCCCGAGTGATACCGGCCTTAGAGGTCCTCCAGAGCACGTTGTTTCGTTGAACTTGCAGTCGTCGGGTCAGGTGCACTGTTGTTGCACACTAACCAAGAGTCGGGTGCAGAAGTCCGGCCCTGGCGACTGTCGTGCCTCCGTCCAGCGGCTGGGACAAGGTGTCCGAGCCAGAGGATGGCCCGGCGCTGACCGTTCGCATGCAGCCGCACTTCCAGCTTCGCAAAGAAAGTATTTAAAACCGCCCGCAAAGAGACAATAAAAGTTTTTTGTTTTTCTGTTCGTCCGCTGCAAGAGACCCCTCACAATGCGTTGAATGACACGGTTAACTGCATTCTTGGGTTCAATCGAGTAGACTAGCAACCGTCTTTATACTATATGTGCTCCTCGGGAGGTTTTGAGTAATCGTACATTTGGGTTTCCTAGCCGTACACCTCTACGACTTGTACACAACTTAAGTGGGACAGTGTCTCAGACCCCTGACTTAGTACATGTCCCGTATTGGACATGTCCTTCCTTCGGACACTTTCGTAAGTGAAACAAGCCGAAAGGGCACAAGCAGCGTCCAGGCCAGAGAAGTTTATTGGCGCTACTGGCGAATTCCAAAGCCGGGAAGATTTAATTCAGTTGCGATAGAAGCGAATAAAAAGAGAAGAACATCTACACGAAATTTATGCGAGACCAAATAAGAGAGAAACCCGGAATTGCTATTCTGCACACAGACTGTAATATCTTACATTCTCAGAATTCAGAACAAAACCTTGAAGAACTAACTAAAGCAAACAGTTGTAATTATAAGAGTACGAATGTAACGATGCTTGAAATCACTGCACTGAAGACTGCTATTCATAAAGGCACCACCGCAACAGAGTAAAGGTAAGTGGGCACCGAACACGTTCACCTTGCCGAGTAAGTATTCGCTCTAGGAGACGGCAAGGAAAAGCAACGACTGGCGCCTGCTCAGGTAATGATCTGAGCATGTTTCATAGATAAGTTTCTTTGATAAGCTGGTCTGCAAAGAATCCCTATGGTTTATGCCCGCCAAAGTAACATTTGCGAAAGACTAAACGGTGCTCGCTGGTCAAAATCGCAGTCCCCTCACGTGCGATCGACATTTTTTGAGGCAGGGACATCCTTGGAGTGAGGCCAGGTCGCGCGGGTTATCGAATCACGTGACCGCTTTGATACGATCTCGAAGCCCTCTCGTGTATCGGCTTATCTTTCTTTCGACCTGGCTTTCCTCGCAGCTAAACAAATTATCAATCTAAAAATAAAATGCGAGGAAAAAAAAAAAAAAACTTCGATGGAGTGATGGTCAAAAGGCAGAGGAAAGATGTACTAGTTTAATCATGTTTCCCTTATCTCTGTCTTCCGAACTCCAGTCTCAAGATATTTTTGTCTTATATACGCTCTTTGAATCGGGTGAGTCAAGGATTTTTCAATAGGGGACGTGCGATAAAGTTTGAATGGCAGTAGGACAATCTAGTACAGAATTTTTGCGACCAGTAAGAGAAAGTGCCACGGCTCCACTTAAAAAAAAATCTTATGCTCGGGCTTTTAAGTACTCTACTAAGTCAACACCACCTAAAGTAACGAAGTCCTTTGAGCATTCTCGTCTTTTTCTATAGATCGTCATCACAGTCCGATGACGGCAAGTGAACAGTTCGACCAGAGACCGATGCAGACCGTAACGCCTTTAATGGCGTTGCGCTCTGCATCAAGGCCCCAGCCCGGCTCGTGTCCATTCTCTGTCTTCTCTCAAGCTCACTGTAATAACGTCAAAATGCTAGTGCACAGACTTCAAATATTCTATGTGGTGTTGAATGCACCGCGGCGCAGCGTTCGTGTCAGATTATTCGGCGGTATAGGTAGCGTTCAGACTATCCTTTTCTTGCCACCAGCCACGCTGAAAGCAACCAGTCGTAACGCCCTTCTGCTCACTGCAAAGCACTAAGGAGTTCCAAGGACCAAAGATGCACTACACATCAGTTACGTTACGTTGAGAAACTTTAGAAACTATGCGGAGCGCAAGTTCGTCTGCTTCTTTTGTGGGGGCTGCGGCAACGTCAGAACTTCGAGCTCTGATTATCTCTCATAGAAGGATAGTGGGTAGACCTCAAAGCAAGCTGCCTCGAGGTCTGCCCACTATCCTTCAATCAAGGCCAATCGCAACTCGGCGTTCTGACGTCACCACAACCCCCTGCAAAAAAAGCAGACGAACTTGCGCTCTGTATAGACAAATCATGCTGGCTGGGCACGTTCCCGGTGTCTTTCTAGGTGGATTGGGCCGGTGGGAGTCTGCATCGAGTAGGCGAGGAGGAAAGTCGTGCTGTTTGCCTAGTTGATGTCTTCACTGAAAGCGCACGCGCGCGCTGCATTGTACAAATCTTTTCTAGAAGCGTGCACGCTTGTTTTTCTTCTTTTTACGCCGCGCAAGCGCATTTGCTGTGTCCTGTTTGTACAACCCTTAACAGCTTGAGAATATCGCAGCAGCATTGTGTCTCTGCTAGAATCACTTCTACCTTAGGACGCATGTCACAGTCGGCGAGATATCGCTTGCCCTTTCTGCCCTAAAGATGCTATAGCAAAAGCACTTTTTCTTTCTTTTTTTTTCTCTTTTTTTTTGGGGTGGGCACGTTTTGGACTATAGTCACTAAGGGATCAAAATACGCTGGGAATAATCAATTATAGTCCCATTTCTTGCTTCTTAATTTCTTCTTCTGTATTCTTGCTGATGCCGCCATCGAATGGCTCCGAAGCGATGATAGAAATCTCAAAAGTAGTCCTGCCCTGCGTTTCTGGCAGTGACTATAGACCATTCCATTTAGCGCTCCCAGGGCGGCACCATTTTTTCTTCGACCACAGCGCCCTCTCCACACATCCGGGAAGTTCAGCAGGTTCAAGGGGGGAGGGGGGGGGGGGGGGGGGGGAAACGAGAGAGATGGCACGCGCCCGAATCTGCTAGCAGACGATAAACCGGGACGTTGTCGTTCTCCATGTTTGGGCTGTACCGGCTGGCTGTACCGAACATCGAACTCTCGCTCGTGGCTGCCGTCGTGAAGCGGTTCGCGTTCTTAGAATATGTATGACTACTCCAAAACCAGTCCATAGCGCTCTGTTGTTTTATTTCAGTAAATGATCAACTAGCTTGTCTTTGTTCCGTTACTTCAATATCAGCGGAGCCTGCCGGCAGTCCTCTCCTGAACCACTGCGTGTATTGCGTCATGAGAGCCCGTTTGTATTTATTTTTCCAGACTTCCACTCATTGTCGCTAAAGGTCTGCACCAGTACGAGCTTTATATAGTAAAAAGACACTACAGCAACCGAATTTACTTTTCGCCGGAGAGACCGTCCACTCAGACACAGTTTATCCCAAATTTTTTTTTATTTGCACGCAGGTAACTGCACAATTGAACCAGGTTTGTCTTTTTATCCAGCATAAAATTACACGATAACTCTCATATCAAAATCCGCGCATCTGCACTTAAAAGTCCCAAAATTACGCGATTTTAAATTGAGTTTGAACGCCAGCCTATTGTTAGGTACAGCCCACTCGGCGGAGCAGACGGCGCGCTGGGTGAAAGGGGGAGGGAATTTTTCGGCCCTCCGCTATTCTTAGTGGAACGGTCTATACAAGACATCAGGAGAAAACAGACACCAGGCGGTATGTCAACCATGGAAGACTCTATTCATCCTCCAGGCGCTCCTGACCAAAAGCTAATCATCCATCACGAAGCCTCGTATGGACCCTGAAACGCGCCTTTTTCTACATATGTAATTCTTCCTCCTCGTCCTCCTCCCACCTGCTCCGTTCTACGCAATCAACGGCATGCCGAATATTCTGTTCCCCAAATAAAGCTGTAAAGCTGTAAAAAAAAATGTCTACAAAACAATGTCGACAGATGGCGCTAACATACAAGATACCACGGCGCTGTTTATAGGGGCACTGACAGGGTACTTATGCTTGCCGAAGTTTTTATTTAAATATGACATATAAGTAGGGTTCTGCGTTTTACATTGAAAATAGCCGTCGAGGTGGTTCTCTCTAAATCGGTGAAAACCGAAAAGCCAAAAATCTAAATTGTCCTTCAAAAAACAAAAACAGCTTTACCCGAAAAAGTCTACCCTACTTTTTTTTTTTTTTTCGTTGTCCCGAAACACAGTTTCACTGAACTGTCCTTCGGGTTGTTCCTTTCTATCGAAAAATCATTCGGACCCCGTTTTCCAGCGGCAGATGTTAGTGGCCCGTCCCCTCGTTTTGCGACGGCGTAAGTGTAAGCCAAGTTTCCAAGCAAAATTTGGCGAAAAAAGTAATGTCACGTGACCTGAAATCACGTGACCTATGCACCAATTCACTTTCCCTGCTAAATTTAGCGGAAAAATTTGTGTCACGCAAGTTATGCACCAATTCAGTTCCCCCTATATTTTGCGGGAAAAGTGATGTCACGTGACTTGACGTGACGGGACCTACAGACAAATCATAGAGTTATTATAATAAACGCTAGAGGCTCAACTGGTGCTAGCGTCTACGGGACTCCTGGTTGCAAATTGAAGCAGACAGCATGCAGTCTACTTTTCCAGTCTTGCTGTGTATTCCTATGGGAAAACGCGCGTGAATTTTGTCTCGTCGCCGGAAAATAACTTTAATAACTTTTGTTATTTCGATTGTACCGGATAGTATGTACCTTTATTAATATTGTGAAGATGTAATTGCTTTAGTTAGAGCATTTTTCCTTTACCAGTGAACGATGTTAAACTTCGCTATATTTCAGGCCCAAACCTCTGTTCATGTCAGGTATGTAGAAACGAGCGACGATTTTAAGTAAAATAACAATCGAAAGGAATGTAGAGTGTGTTCAAAGTTCCCCAGCATTCCGTTGGTGCTTATATATTGATAATATACCTGTCCTCTCACTCTATGAAAGTGACCCCGTCGTGCATCTTTACGAGTGGTTAAAAAAAACGTTCGAAACGTAAAGAATAAAGTACGTGGGTACGAAAGGCGTGTTTTTCTTATTATTTCCTATGTTGGGTAGTTTTTATCGCGCACCTGCTCTCTGGCTTCCCCCTTGCAAAGATTTGGAGCGTGCGGCTGATGATTTGAACACAGAACAAGCATCTTCGCACATATTCATGAGCAGAAAGAATAAAGCAGTACTCATTTATTGAAAGTCGGACTATATTACGTGGCTTTCAATTTATTTGATCGTCTGCAAGCACAAGGAGCTACTTATCCAGTGTTACTGCGTAGTTCTTGCCGTCTCTCTTGGTTTTCCACATGT